CCCTCGGTGTCCACTGCGAAAAGTCCGATACAGCCGCCTGCGGGTCATCTCGTGATGTTTCCCGTAAACACGCGGTGTTAGCTTACAGGTGTAGCATGTTCTGTTAGCGTGTGTCAACAAAGGTTCTCGTATCGATCGCGCCCCCTCAAGTTGTATGGTGATCACTACGCTTGAGAGAGCAATTAATTGTGCATGTGATCGATGTTCATCCAGGAATCAATGGACACTCTCTTCTCTATCTGCTGTCTAGTCGCTGTGTGTGAGTGCGTGTGTATGATTGCTTGTCTGCACAGTGAAACGATCAGCACAATACCAAATAGCGAGTCTAGTTTGGGGGGTCAAGGTTGTCTCGACTTGTGAAGTCTTTTAAAAATATTTCTTTTAAGTTTTTTTTGAAAAATATACATTACAACAATTTTCAGAGAAATATGAACAAATACAAATTTTCAAGGAAGAATATAACTTTTTCTTTGAAAATTGCAAAAGAGAAAAAAATGACCCAATATCTCACGGTAATCATGTTTTTTTTGTCAAATAAAAAATAAGAGTTAAATTGCTAGGGAAACACTCCTTAGAAAAATACGTATTAAAGTCTAGAAAAAAAAAATCTCGAAAAATGTTGTTCCTCATTGAAATCTAGTAGAATATTAAATTTTGATTGAAAATTGGGGAATCAATTGCACTTTCTCTGAAAATGACCATTTTTTTTCTCGGGATAATAACCCTAAGTAGGAAAAAAAAATCTTACATCGGACCTAAAAAAATAAAATGCTTTGGAAAAATAAGACCTTTTGCTCAGGAAAAATCCTGACAGAAATCTCAAGTTATGACCCTTTGTCAAAAAAAAAAAAAAAAAATTATTGGAAAAACATCCTTGTAAAAACTTTGAAAAACGCCGACAAAATGGTCAGAAAAATGACCGTGGGTGAGGCAAGGTGTCTCCAGATGGCACGGCTCTCACTTTTGTCTTGATGGGCGTAAAAAGCCCACACTTCTCAGGGCCCGCCTCATCTGCCAGCTGGAGGACAATTCCGCTCGGTGCACACGGAGAGGCGGGGGCCGCCCTCTTGAGTGCCACGCCGTGTCCATTTCCCCCACCTGCAAATGGCCCCCTCGTCGAGCTCGCACGCACTTATGCACCCCCGTCGTCCCTTTTTGAAACGTCGCGTGGTCATATGTATGAAAATGGAGGGTGTGACAGCATACCTGCTGACGGTAAGCGCAGCGCGAGTAAAGAAATGAAATGACCTCACCGGGAAGATGTCATCAATATTTTAGCGGCTGACCAAGAATTGTGCGGTTCTTCGGTCGAATTTTGGCACACCCCCTATCTGATAAGGGGGGAGGGACACCCAAGTTGGTATTCTCTTTATCCTTTTATGAATTCACTTTGCAGGACGGCCTTTCACCTGCAATGTAGTTCCTTCTTCAACATCCAGGAGCGGCTTGGCTTTGGGTCGTCAACCCAGGTGGTAATCGCGTGGTTGTCTTTCGGAGAGCCAACTATGACCTGGATTGTACCGTTATTAACGTTCACGGAGCGGTCTATGATCTGGGTGCTGGGTAGGGTGATTGTCTCTCATGGAGGGCTTTCGTCAACTCGACTCGACTCAACTGTATTTCGAGAGCACTTAAAAACAAACCACCGCTGCATACAAAGCGCTGTATGTGGAGCAAAAAGAATTCATACAAAAGCACAAAAACAGTCAAACTAAAAATCAAGTCTCATGCTGAGTCAAAAGCCAAAGAATAAAAATGAGTTTTAATACGAGTTGGGCAGTGAGGGGGCTTACCGAACGTTCCTTCCAAAGAGAAGGATCGGAAACGGAAAAGGCTCAGTCCCCTCTGAGCCTCCGTTTTGTTCTTGGTACCTCTAATAGGGTCTGGTCCGCCAATGTGAGGCCAGGTGCGTAGGGGGCTCAGCGAGGTAAGGTGGAACGAGGCCATTTAAAGATTTGAAAACAAATAAGAGGATCTTCAAAAGAACTCGAAAATGAACCAGTGAAGGGACGCCAGAGTAGGAGTTATGTGCTTCCTCTTACGAGCACCAGTCAAGACGCGAGCAGCGGCATTCAGGAGCAACTGGAGACGCTTGATGGAGGATTGGCTGACTCCAAAGTAAAGTGCATTACAGTAAGATGAAGGCACAACGACGGCGCATCCGTCGTAGAGTCGACCGCGCCCTGGAAGGTAGTGTCGTTCACATGACCCAGGTGGTACAGTCGTCTCCTTTGGTACAAAGGTGGACAACTCAGATGGTAGAGTGGTCCAATGTTGTACAGTGGTCTACGCCCTAGATGGTGGTGAAGTGGTTGTTTTTTTGTAGAATATTTCAATTGAGGGAACCTGAAAAAGCAACTTTACCTGACAATTATGGGTGGCGGTTTCAAGAGAACACAGAAAGAAAAGAAGTGGAGAGAGACAAAGAGGGTAACCGAGGGAGAAAGACGGAAGAGAGGGAAGGAGGACAAGGCCCACCACACTCAGCTACAGGAAAGCAATTAATAATTTACATCATCTGTCACTGTGCGCTCCACTGGACCACTCAACAAACAGCACCCGTAATTTAAGGCAAAACACACACACACACACACACACACACACACACACACACACACACAGAGGAAATAAAAGCATGCGTGCCAAGATCTGACATGCACTCGCCTGCCACGCGACTCACCGGCGCAGCCTTGAGGCCGGGCCGAGATGAAGCCTAGTTGGAGCCTTAGCGGGCCCCCTCACATTTGCGGTCCGGCCAAATAGAAGCTAGCTCCTGGCGGGCCTGCCTTTTGTTTCGGCGGCGGCCATGTTAAATTCATGCCGTGTGTGTGTCACCGCTAGCTAGCGCCTGACGGTAAATATTTGATACATTCCCATCCGTCTGAGGAAATCCCCGAAGCATACGATTAGAGCTGCCTGTCTGTCGGGGTAAGGGTGAGGTTGGGTGGGAGGGACGTGGTTGCCGCCCACCATGATAAATTTACGTTTGTTTTGGGAGTAAAAAAAATCGGGCAAATGGATACTCGTAGAGTAATAATTGTTTTGTTTTTTAAAGAAGCAGACGAGGTCGATGAAATGATAACATTTCAACAGTTGATATGCTAACATCTATTGAGACAAATTGCTAACGGGATAGTGTCCAAGATAGGCCAAAAATCCTCCGTTTTTATGCTAACACCCAGCAAATCTGGAAAAAAACAAACACTGGGGAACACGGTGACTTTGTGAAAGAATATCAGGTAAAACGCATGTGAAAAATGACGCTAACAGATACTGTTCAAGCAACCCGCGTATATGTGTGGTTGCAGAATGTCAAAGGAACATTTGATGACTTTTTTTATATTGGAACTTCAATCCATGTTTAATTCCCCCAGCGGGGCAGCGCTAGCAACAAGGTCAGCCTCAGATGGGTGGAACATTTCAATTTCACACTTGGTCTGTCGTAAAATAGCGACAGGTCTTTCATCTTGAACACACGCTTATGGAAAAGAGAAGGGGCAAGCGTTCCCATCAGTCATCCTTGGCTGAGACACCTGAGCCAAAAGTTTCAAACTAACCAAAAAAACAGGGGTGAGCAAATATGGCCAGCACGAAGACATGCCCGATGGGCAAAGCTCCAACCGATGGGCAAAAACTTCTGCTGCTGGGTGAAGCTCAAGCCTGTGGGCAAAGCGAAGCCCGGTGAGCAAATCTCGAGCAGGAAATCGAAGCTCAAGCCTGTGGGAAAACCGATTGCCCGTGGGCAGAGCTACTGCCTATGGGTGCAAATACAACCGGAGGGTGAAGCTACCACCAGCGGGAAAAGCTAAGCCAATGGGAAAAAGCTATGAAAACCCGGAGGGTGCCACGAGCTGTGGCCAGTGGGGCACACGCAAACGGGGGACAAGCTACGGCCAATGGGTTGAAGCGATGGCTCGGAGGTGAAGCGATGTCCGTTGGACAAAGATACAGATGGCGGATGTAGCTTTAGCTGGTCGAGAGGCAAACATACGGACGTTGGATGAAGCTCCGTCCAGTTGGTGGCGCTCGGTAGAAAAAGCTTCTGCTGGTGGGTAAAAAGAGAAACGGTAGACACGGCTGCGTCCGGTGGGCC